GCTTGTGAGCCAAACATTCGTATGAAAAGTTATCTGGCTATTCGGAACTTACCCCAAATTAAAACCAGCCAGATTGATTAATGGGTTGGTCAAAACTTGGGAGACACAAACCATGACATGAGGGCTATTTGTATACATGCAAACATAATTTTGCCCTGACAACTCTCCGACGACTTCCATACCATGCTGGCATTTCAATGTATTTCCGAATACAAAAATGTATGAAGCTAGTTGTAATTACTGGCGAAACGTCGTACTCGGATTGTAAATGTTGTGGCTTGGCTCTTCAACGCACCGGTTAGTGCTGTACTAGTGACGAATTGGCATGTTCTGTTTACGTGACAACCCTTAATAGTTGGCTGTGTTGGGTGGTGGCGGGTTTAACGACACATTTATATATTTACGCGACATAACCCAAAAACCTCTATTATTGATTATGGACAGAAATGTATGTTGAAAAGCATTACACCGGTGCACGTAATTTTTCCTAACTGATTCTAATGAGTCTTGAGACTCATCGAGGCTTATTAATCTGAGTTGATAAATTATAGTATTGTTAAAATACATAAAGGTTTGGCATTGCGGTAGTCCTTGGAGCAATTTTCCTCAACCATATTAATGTCGAATTTCCAACAGTTGTCTGAAGGTTATGAATAGCATGTGGATACCGTGTAATTTGAGTCTGAAACAACTGAGCCTTTTTTATGCATAACATTAATTAATTTGCTCTTTTATAATTAATGAGCGCTTTCACAAGCCATAATACCTCTACCTTCTGCACACTCTACGTACAATGTGGCTGCTATCGGCCCTCATCTCTTTGCCAATCGAGGCTGTGCAACATTTCACATTCATTTTCCGCTCGCCCCTTTTTCATTTTGCTGCCCGTTGGATGTTGTGAGCGCCGCTAGCATTCGTGAGACCCCCACCCGCCGTCGGTCACAAGCAAGTTTGTAAATCGTAATCTTCCCCATCACCCCAAGTGCTTGGCCTCACTTCACTGGCTTCCCATCGCAAGAGCGTATGGGCACCCAGATCCTCGCCCTCGCGTTCAGAGCCATCCACAGCCTTGCGCCTCCTCCTCCATACCTCAGAAACCCTTTCCACGCCCACGTATCAGCCCACTCACTCACCCACTAACTTACTTACCCACTCACTCCTTCCTTATTTGTCCATCAAAGGTTGATGATGACCATGACACACTTCATTGGGATGAGTCTGGGGTACGATGAGAGCACAGATGGCTGAAGTGGCCAATCTGAACCCGCAACACTCTGTGGCAGACTGGATATGATATGATTGTAGCGGCCTGCTGGGGGACGGGTCTCTTGATATGGGTCTTGCACTGTTGTCTCTTCACCATGAAAGTTTGGTCCTGTTGGTTTCAGAGGTGGTAGCGCCATCCCAGATGAGATTTCGCCAGGTCGGATGATCTTGAGCAAGGCTTTCCCATGACTTTTGATCTCTGTTAAAGCTCTTGAGGGAGGCCTTCAGGCTGTCTTTGAAGCCTTTCATTGGTCCACCTTGTGCTCGCTTCCCATTATTCAGCTCTCCAAAAAAGATCTGCTTCGGGAAAACGAGTGTCATGCATTCTTGTCACATGGCCGGCCCATCTGAGCTGTGCTTTCAAAAGGTGCGCGGTAATGCTCAGCATGTCAGCATGGCAGAGGACTTCAGTGTTTGGGATTCTGTCCTGCCACTTAATCCTGAGGAGCTTCCTCAAACAGCATGGCGTTGGTATACTGTCCAGGTTTCGCAGCCATATGTAAGAGTTGGTAGTATGACTGCCTCGTAAACCTTCAGTTTAGTGGCCAGCTTGATGCCTGTCCTTTCCCACACTGAATCTCGCAGACGGCCAAAGGCTGCACTAGCCTTGGCAATCCTGATTTCATGATCAATGTGAACAGCACGTGACAGAGTGCTACCAAGGTAGGTGAACTTGTCTAGAGGCTGACAGTTTCTGACCTTTCACAGGGATGGTTGGGTCCACGTAAGGATTACCGGGGGCAGGTTGGTACATAACTTCAGTCTTCATTGTATTGATTGTGAGGCCGAAGTTGTCGTAGGCAGCTGAGAACTGGTCCATGAGCGTCTGCAGGTCAGAATTTGAGCCAGCAGCTAGAGTGCAGTCATATGCAAACAAAAGGTTGTGAATAGACACCTCCTCCACCTTTGGTTTGGCTTGCATCCTCCACATGTTAAACAGCCCCCCATCAAAGCGGTAGGTGAAGTGGATCCCAGTGTGGTCATTTGGGAAAGCATTTAGCAGCATGGCGGAGAACATCATGCTGAACTGGGTTATTGCTAGAACACAGCCTTGCGTCACTCCATTTGTGACTGAAAGCTGTTCAGAGGACTCTTGGTGATCTTACATACTTGCCTTCATGCCATCATGCAACTGCCACATCATGGTGATACATTTGTCTGGGCATCCAACCTTTGCTATGATCTTCCAGAGGCCCTCGCGGCTAATGTTGGTGTCGAAAGCCTTTCTCATGTCGACAAAGGTGAGGTACAGGTCGGAGTTTTGCTCTTGGCATTTTTATTGCAGTTGTCGGGCTGCAAACACCATGTCAGTGGTTTCACGTTTTTTTTCTGAAGCTACACTGGCTTTCGGGCAGCAGGCCTTCCGTTAGACGATTTAGGAGGATTCTTGCAAAAAAAATTCCCGCAATTGACAGCAAGGATATACCTATATGATTGTCACAGGCTTGGCGATTGCCCTTCCTCTTGCAGAGGTGGATAATTGAGGCACCCTTGAACTCCTGAGGGATAGTGTATTGTCTCCATAATGACTGGAAGAGGTTGGTTAGCTTCTCAACCAAACGAGGCCCTCCTGCCTTTAAGACTTTCGCTGGGATGGCGTCAGCTCCCGGAGCTTTTCCAGATGAGAGGAGACTGATTGCCTTTTTGGTTTCCTCCAGAGTGGGTGGATCTGCAAGTGACAGTTTCGTTTCAACTTGAAGCAGCCTATTGATCACATCTTCATTTATGGATGGAGGCTGATGGAGGACTGAGTTGAAGTGTCTTTCTCTGTGAGCAGTGTGGTTCCATCTGAGGTTCCTGAGGTTTGTGGGCCATAAACTGACTTGAGTGCATCGTAGAAACGCTTTGTGTTGTTGCTGTTGGCATATGATTGTATCTCCTCTGCTTTCTTGGAACTCTGAACTGTTATCATTCAGGTAGGCTCTGTGCAGACGATGAGTGCCTGAATCTCCTACTGATTTTCGTCGAATCAGTCTTGGTGTTTGCGTGTGACAGCAACAACTGTTTAAAGCACTGTTGAGTGCAGCAGATTTCTGAGAGCTGTCCAATATGCCTCAGCATCTTCAGAGTCAAGGCTTAGGGACTCCAAGCGGTGGTCTGGGGCTTCAGCAAAGTTCTGCTGGATGCTGTCCTGTTTTAGCCGAGAGATGTTGAGTCGCTTAGAAAATGTTTTGCCTTGTGGACGTCTGGGAGGTTTTATTTGGATGTTGAGATTGGAGATAATGAGAATGTGATCTGTCCAGCATTCTGCACCGCATATGACCTTGGATGTCATGCCTGTCTCTCCTCGAGACAATGACATAGTCAATCAAGTGCCAATGTTTTGACTGTGGGTGCATCCATGATATTTTGTTGCGGTTTGGCAGTTGGAAGAAAGTGTTTGTGATCAGTCGGTCATGCATATTACATGTCCTTAGCAAAAGGCCATTGTTGTTGCATTTGCCAATAATATATGCACCTATGATCCCATTCCATGACTGATGGTAAGTTCCAACTCTGGCATTGAAGTCGCCGAGAATAATGAGTTTATCTTTGCTGGGTATAGCAGCAAGTGCAGTCTCCAGGTCAGTTTAGAACTTGTTTTTGACCTAATAAGAGTTAGTCATGGTTGGTGCACAGGTGACCTGCTTTTTGCCTGGTAGATGGAGCTTCAGGGTCATCAAATGGTCTGGGATAAGCTTGACAGTTGGTTGGCCTGGTTAGATTTTACTGCAAAACCAACACCAGTGTGACGTCTCTCCTCTTTTCCACGCCCACTCCAAAAGGTGTAAACCAGATTCATCTTCTGCAATCTGTCCCGTATCAGCTAGCCGGGTCTCACTTCGGGCGGCAATGTACATTTTGTATCTGGCAAGTTATGTGCCTACAAGAGCCGTACGTTTCCCAGGTCTGTTTGGTCCAGCTGTGTCCAAAAGTGTGCGCACATTCCAAGCACCCATATTAAGTGGTGTATGTTTGATATTCTTTGTTCGACCTGATGATGGTGTCATGACTTGCGCTTTTAATTGGATTCAAGTGAGGGACAGTTGCGCAGCTTCGGCCTCGCTCTCTAGTCCAAACTCATCTGTATCCAGTGGCAAGACGATGTCTAGACGGCTAGAGATGATGCTGGATGCAGTGGGTGGTCAGAGAAGACGTCCTGATGGTATTTCCTCCACCAAGGGTTTCACCGACCCAACTCAGATACTGAGTTTGCCGGGTTAGTTAACCGCCGCCCGGGGTTCGGCGTTGACAGCCGCTGGAAGTACCGACTCACCAGGTGCAAGATGGAAAGCACCTAGTGTGCACCTACGGTAGCAGCTAGGGTGTCTCGAGAAAAGACTGACTGAACACTCACTGACTCACCTACTCACTGACCCACCCACTCGCTCACCCACTCACTCACTACACTACAGGTCACACCGCTTCTCTTTCTGCCTCTTCCCTCACAGCGCTCCACTTAGGAATTCTCTCTCATCGTCTCTTTTACACCAAGTTCAACAATCTTTATTATCAAGAACGGTATTACAGCTTCAAGAGTGCTGGTTATTGTTAGCTACTTTACATTTTGGGCCTGTGCTCGGCAGCCAAATTCAAAGTCAAATTATTTGGTGATTCTGTGTCGGCGGTGTTGCACGAGAAAAATTAACACGTGAAACATGAAACTCAACACCTTCGTACATGATACGAAGGAGGTGCCCGTTCGTGTGAAGCAATGTTACGACAAATTCAACTGTCTCTTTTTCCATCACCAGGCGCACGTTACCATGGTGATAGCCTGGGCCCACTGGGCGGCCATCTTCCTGGCACTGGTGCTGCCGGCGCCAAGGGTGCTGGGGGCCCCCTCGGCGGAGGACGGAGCTGGAGGAAGGAGTGAGGGCGCAGAGAGAAAGGGGAGCGCCGGGGTGCGGGGAGGCAAGGGCGTGCGAGGGGTTGAGGATGCATGTGTGAGGTGTTGCGACTCCCCGAGGTGGCCGCCTCGCCACGGTGACGGCCTCCATCAAACCCAGACAACAGCAGCAGCAGCACCGCAGGTCGCGATCTCCATCCTCAAAGGTGAACGCTAGCTGCTGTTGCCGCTGCTGTTTGCTCCTGCTGTTCCTGCTGTTCCTGCTGTTGCTGCTGTTGAGTTGCCACGGATTATAGTACAGCCCAATTGGAGCCCACATTTATCGAGTTAAAACATGGTAGCAGGCGTTTGGGAAAATAGATGGTGATGATGATGAGGGAGTAGTTAAAACTGAATTATTTATCTCGTACGAATTTTGTTACAATGCTACTATCGACATCTGCACACAGAGCGATGCGTTAATTCATTTAAAGCGCCCGCAGAAATAAGAAGTCTCGTCTCAACGTGATGCGACTCCAAAGTGGGAAGGGTTTTGTTTTTTCGTGATAACCTTCGGCTGTGGTGTATTCCCTCAGCCTTCAGGCTGCACTCTCGCCAACTCAACACACATTAACAAGGTGGATGTGTTCCCAATTCCACCCCAAGCTCTATCGGATAATTAATGAGTGTTTACATGAGCAAACCCACAAACTCACCTCTTGTAAATGTACTGCAATCGGCCCTCATAGCTGTCTTAAATTTTTTTTTTATGTTTGACACCAAAAATGCGTGAGATTTTTTTTTGTAGTGCAGTCCTGTAGGCTGCGAATCATGAATTCGACGCAGGTGAAAGTGTGACTTCATCTCCCGTGTGGGGAGCGACAACACCAGTGACGATTATCTGAACCGGTCCTGGGCCTCCCCTAGGTCGACTCAGCCTCAAATGAGTTCCTGGTGCGATGTGTAAACATCACCACTAGGGAGACAAAGGCGGCCGGGCGTGGTGTTGGCCACCGACCCACTCGTGTGCCGTGCCGGCCTTTATAGGTGCTCGCTAACAGCACTTGCCCCTGCAGTCTGCTAAGGCTATACGGGGGATCTTTGTCTTTTTGTCATCTGCCGTGGGACCTTGGCAGATGTCGGCTGTGCACGCGCATTGCTGCTGCTAAGTCTATGGCATATACCGTGTTCTACCAATTTAATCTATTTAAACTATTAAATGATTTTCTATTTACCAGGTAAAGCCCACTGAGCTATTCGCTTTTTTTCAGTGGAGACCTGGCCACAAATGATATCATGTGGACATTTCTAGCAGCCAAAAAAATCTAAATGCATGTTGTTTCTAAAATCCACACGACCGCAGGGAGAACACGAAATCTACAAATATACAGGCTGCAGGGTCGGGATCGAACCCACGACCCCCTGTATACCAGGCGAGGCAGATAACAGCTCACCACTGTGGTGCCCATTTATACGGTGCTCTAGAAAGTAAAACGCACCTCAAACCTGTGGCAGCTTTTAATAAAGCGAAGCTAATCTGGTCTCACACACCATTCAGTTTTTCTACGAAAAAAGTGTGTCTTAGAATAAGGAGAATATGGTAAGTGATATTTTTGTGGCACAGTTGTTGATGCGCTGCACTATGGAACCTGGCAAACCCCATTTTTATTTCGGGCCATGGGTAACATCAAAGGCAATCTAGATCAGAATCGGTCGTGCCTTCCCATCTTCATCAACCCGCAATGACCAGTTTGGTGAAATATGATATAAAAAAAACCCATGATCGACATGGCATGGGGAGGCTTCCAAATATTGGTGGATTGTGAATGGCGGGATTTTATGTTGCATTTCCATTCAAGATCCGGTCATGTGACTTACTCTACAAGTAACTCCTATACTTCGTATTTTTTGCTCCCCTTGGCCAATTATTTACTTCCTGACTTTTGAGATGTACACTCTGGGTACCTTGTAGAAAGGCGCTTTATAAGGGCAATTTATTATTTGAAATCAGAAGTTCGCTTCCCGAGTGAAGCCCATTGAGCTAAGAAGCTCATTTTCAAAATGGGTCAATGATCTTCTCAATTTCGGCACCCAAACCTCTGGAATAAATTGGTCGCTGCTCTCAATATTGTGACCACGACTATCTCTGTCTGCTTTCAGGGCTTTGCTTTTATGGTTACTGCTGCCAAACCCTGTGAATGCCGTTAGAAAACGCCATTGGTGACAGGGAACTTGACATTGTCATTTTTGTTCGTGCTGTTAATTCAAATAGGTCAATGAAAATTGTAATTCTTGCTGTTATGAATACCATGTTAAAATGTCAGTTACTCTCACTAGTGTCTAGCATAATGCTATTTTTAATTGCTCACTAGATTTTCATTGTACAGAGATCTAGTAGGTATTTTTTAAATAATTTAATCATGTTTATCAAATGTCCCTGCTTTTGTTCCATGCAGCCCCTGTAAACCCTCCCTTCCCATGTCACGTGTTTGGCCCTTTTGGCCGGGTTGCCATTGATAAAAAGCTTCTCAGCTCAATGGACCTGACCCAAAATTAACTAATTGACTGCCAGTGCCTGATAGCAGCTCACTTTAATTTTTATTTTTCACAATTCGGCAAATAAATTCAAATTTGCCAAAAAAAATATGTTTTATTCTCGGCAGAAATAAATGCAAAAAGATAATATTTTCAAGCGGCATTGCTAGATATGTGCTCCTCCATAGATTGAATGAAATTCAGCTTGTACGCACATAAGTTTGCTCACAAGCACTAAATATTTTAATACGTTTTACTATTTTGTTTGTAAGGGAACAATCTGCCCAGATCACACAATATAACCTCCACAGCATGTGGCTCAGTGCACATCTACCTGCGCTTTCGGAAATCCACTGCTGGATGAAGGAATCCCCAATGCCGTGCAGGCTCGGGGCTCGAATGGGGTGGGTGTGGTTACTCTAACCATATTTCAAGCTGGTCAGTATGGGTCGCTGAAGGACTGGGCGCATAAATGTGGAGGCATTTCCTCCTCCTCCTCCCTCCCAACTACAATTGCACATTAAGGTGGTACGGCCCAGTCAACCGTGACCGGAGCAGTGCAGTGCATCGCCATGATGTCTCCTTCGTATTTGTGGCTCGGGCATTGCGTTGTTGTACCTTGCACGGCCTATTCTGGATGACCACAGTCGCACATTAGAGCGTTTAAAAATTTGCATTTGTGCATCGTATGGTGGCACTTAGGTATAGCACGACCAAAGATTTTGCTGCCCTCTCCTATGTTGCTCACAACACAGTAGCACAACCCCGCTGCAGCAACAGCAGCCTATAACACCTGTGTAGTGCATGGCGTTCGCCCATCCATGCATTGGTGATGCCAATGCACGTGCGGTGTCTGTGGCGTGCAGCAATCATTGTGTGGAGTTCGGAGTGCAGGGTTCGGTGTGCGGCTTGGTGTTGTGCGTTTGGCGAGGATTGTCGTACGTGGCGTGTGGTGTTGCTACGGTGTAGGGAGAGTGAGCCGGGTGCCGTGCGGCCGATGTGGCAGCCCTCGTTCGGTGTGTGCGTGGTCTGCGGTCGGTGCGATGTGCCACGCGGGTGTCCGCGCGTCGTGCGATGCTCGGCGTGCCGCCCCGCGGCACGCTGCGCGGTGTCCGCCTCGGCGGTGCCACGCGGTATTTGCCGGCGGTGTCAACCACGCCGTCAGGCTCCGTCAAAATCTCTCCCCGTCACGTGCGCACGCAGGCGACCGGGGCTCCCGCGGGGACCACGGCCCGCCGGGATACCTGGGCAAGGATGGCGCGATGGGCATGCGCGGGCCCTCGGGCCCCAGAGGCCCGCACGGTTCACCCGGCTCGCCCGGCGCCGACTGCAAGGTCTTCACGTCGGCCTTCTCGGTGGCCCGGCGCACGGCCCTGCACTCGGGCGACTATTTCTCGGTGCTGTCCTTCGACATGGAGTTCGCCAACCCGGACGGCCACTTCAACATGTTCACCAGCAAGTTCTTCTGCGTCGTGCCGGGCCTCTACTTCGTGAGCTTCAACGTGCACACGTGGAACTCGAAGGAGACCTACGTGCACCTGATGCTCAACGAGCGGCCGCAGGTGGTGCTCTACGCGCAGCAGAGCGACCGCAGCATCATGCAGAGCCAGAGCATCACGCTGGAGCTCGCCGAGGGCGACGAGCTCTGGCTGCGACTCTTCAAGCGCGAGCGTGAAAACGCCGTCTACAGCGACAGCACAGACACCTACGTCACCTTCAACGGATACCTGGTGCACCCCATAGTGGAGTGAGCTGGCTGGAGGGCGCGCGAGCGGGCGGACGAGCGAGCGAGTGAGGGAGGCAGGGAGTTGTGTGAGTTCGGTGAGATGAGGTGTTTGGGTGAGCAAGCGGGCAAGTTTAAGGGAGCAAGTGAGAGAGGATCGGGTGAGGGAAGCGAATGTGAGCAAGCGAGCGAGTGCGATGGTTGAGATGTTTGAGAGAATGAGTGAGGGGGTCGAGGGAGGGAGCGAGTGACAGTGCCGGACACTTTCGTCACCATCAACGGACACCTGGGTTGCACACGGACGGAGTGAGGGAGTGAGCGAGTGAGTCGGTGAGTGAGAGGAGCGAGATGATTGGGCGAGCCACGCCAGTGAGGAGGGAGTGCTCGGCCCAGCTGCACTGATGAGCCAGGTCGTGCAGAAATTCGTGGAATTCCCGAAACTGTTGGGATGCGAGGTTGGCCGGGAGCAGATGGCACATCACCTATGCTGCCATCTCACTCGCGGCTCAAGCGGGAAGATGCAACTCGGATTACGAGTGACTGTGCGATCGTCAATGCTAAACATATGGCGTGTTTGTGAAGCCATCTGTGCAAACCCTGATGTGTCGTCCTCTCGTGCGCGCGTGTGTGTGTGTGTGGCGTTTCGCCGGTTACTCTGGTATACCAGCACAGCGTAGCAAACCACTCAATTCAGTTCCTGAAGAAGCTCGCAGCATGTGGATGCGGAACGTTGGACACCCGCTGACCAACACGCGGTGCAACTCGAAATCACATCGGAGAGCTGTATGTTACAACCACGAACACCCACGCATCCTAGTCACCCAGGGATGTCGGAATTGTCACTCACAGAGGTGGGCCATGAACGGGCGTGTAACATTTCCTTTTGGGCAAAGCCATAGGCCAACGGCGGCATAATTCTTGCATATGATGTCAGAGGGTCTTTAAAGTGCAGTTCGCAACAGGCAGCAGACATGTCAACTCCTTGAATCAATTACCCGATGGCAGAGGAAACTGAACCGCTCACTCACTCCGAGTGGTGTGCATAGCGATCTATAAGCTATCCTGCGAAGATTTACGAAAACCCCATCCTGTGCTGTGCTTTTCTTTCACGTGGCATTATCGTGTTATATTAACTGTCCTTCATATTGAAAAAAACGCGTGCGATTGGGCGCGCGTGAGGACGGGGAGCAGCAGCGTGGTGGAGTCGCACGCTGCGCTCTGAACCCAGCGACCCGACGTTGATTCCCGGCCACGGTAAACACCGGAGTGGCAGGTGAAATCTGACCCCGGTGTACCTGGGGTGTGGTGTCAAAACATCAGCACTGGAGAAATAAATGCGTTCGGGCGTGGTGCTGGACACATCGCCCTGACATGCGCTTTGCCTGCGGCCTTAATAGGTGCTCACTTACAGCACTTGCCCCAACAAGCTATATTAAAGGTTATCTGGGAAATATTTGTCTTTGGTGTTTTTGCTATGGCGTGTGCATCCCAATGACTGCCCCCCCACTGGACATCTGTAAAAAAGAGCTTCATAGCTCGTCATATTTCTCCAGGATAAATAAAGATTCTGATTCTGCATCCCAGAGAGCATGTCACATTACGAATACGATTTCAGTGTCGGCGTGCCCAACGAATTATTTCCTCCTCGTCATCTGACAATTTGTTTTATGAATTCCACAATTGATGAATTTTGTCAAAATGACGGGGAGGTGCAGTGGTGCAGCGATGTTTAATAAAGACACTCAGCGCAAAATGCCACTGAAACTGGGTGGTCCTGTCGACGTTTGTAAGAGAAGCGTGTCGGCAGAATGTCAATGGCACACGGAGAAAGCGTGAGTCACAGCATCCAGCAAATATCACCGCGGTGTTCATTTGTTTCGTCTTGAGACTCGACACGCGAGCGCGGTATATGAGGACATTAGTCAGTTGATGCATATATCCAGAATATGTGGCGTACACACCCAGCGATTGATGCAGCAACACCCACAGAGCCAGCCTAAGGTACCTTTTATGATTTTTCTGCGCCAATTTAGCAATTATATTTCTAAAAACGAATTACTACCCAGAAACACCTCACTGAGTCTAAAGACTCTTTGCCAGTGGGAGGCGATGTTTCTGCTGACCCAATTGAGCCATTTGCAGGTAACCTATAAGCATTGGGATGTTGGCAGTCACCAGGTAAGCTGTAGGAAGAAACTCAAGCCAAATAGGGATAGAACGAACAAACGCCACACATAAAGGCACCCGAGTCGGGAATCGAACCCAGGTTCTTCTTGCTGCGAGGCACGAGTGTTACCACTGCACTGGCCCTGCCACCAAATTGCCCGAGGCTCACTCAGCGTTAGAATTCTGAGGGTTCAATATTAATGTGAAACAATCGGCCAGCTTCGTGCGTGGGTAACCAGCTTAGCAAGACTATTGGATTCAGACCAGGAAAGAGGGTTTCTTCAATCTCCATATGAAATTAATATTAAACTCGCCAGCTATGTAAGCCTCGATTTACCGTCTTAATATGTTCCAGTCGCATTGATTAAAGCAACAACAACCTCGGACTGGGCTTTTTTTCAGTCAATCCTCATCAGCACGGTGTGCGGCCTTCTTGTGGATGAACAGGTTCTATCGAGTATGTAACTAATAAAATCGTTGCTGGAATTTGGTAACAACTGAAGCATTCAGAATGAACTTTTGTTATTTTTTAATCTTTCGGTAAAGTCACGTAGATGGGTTCAAAGAAAATAACAAGACCCAAGAATATGAATTCCTGCAGTCACAAAAGCTTTAAGTAAAGATTTAACTTTTGTTATTAACGTGAAGTGACGGTGACCTCCCGCGTGCGCCACGACTGCGTAAATTATTGTGGACCACGAGACCGGCAACGCCAAAAGACCGTTTCCCCGAGCGGATGGAAGGCGAAAACATTCTCAGACACGGCAATTCATTTTCAGGACAAATTAAAAGGTGGCGAAATTAACCAATGGCGCGTGACCAATTGCACGATTAACTGCCGAGCTGATGACGCTTGCTTTGCGGCTAATTTAATTGGAAAATTAGACTCGCCTGGGAATGCCATTTTGCGAACGCAATGATGGGAGCTGTGCAAACCGGTGACGGTGCAAGCCCAATGGGGGGAAGGGGGGAGCTCTATGCATAACTAATTGTTACCTCCCGCCCCCACTCATGTATGAAACCTGAGTAAGATGACAGGAAGTGATATAGATGTCGTGATGCAAGAGAAACGTGTTCAAAATGGAGATGCAGCGGGAGAAGAGAGATGCAGGCAAGGCATTGAGGTGTTGGAGATGAATTTACTTTTACTGGGTTAATCGGCTTTTTATGTTTTAAGAGCATTTGAAATTTAAGTTACTATTCAATGCAACCCCGGTTTTTATTCGGGGCCCCTTGAGTCGCTAGGGGACCCCTGAGCTTTTGCTTGCTTTGCTGCCTCCTGGCGCTGCCACTGAAGCAAATACTGATTCCTGCCCTTTGAGGACATTGGTTCATTATTCAACCGGGGATAACCCTGGGGGAGCTCGTTTCTGCAGTATTGCTTTTCGACATATTGTGGTTAAAGGTGCAGCCCTGGAATGGCTTGCTTATGCCATTGCCGGCAGAAGGGTGTGCACTGGAGGGAGCTCTCGAGAAGGCACCTCTAGAGGGTAATCTTCTCCTACACTACTGGCCAGACTTAATTTGGCAGCGGTGGGAGTAGCCCAGATGTCACCTGGCCAAACGTGACCTGCCGATCGACTAATTATGGCGCATCCATTTATACTGCTGGGTCCAGGGGCCGGCAACCTGCGGCTCCTCACGGACTGTTTCGTGACATCTCGTATTCGCGTGCAGTGCAGGCTCTTAAAATATTGAGTTGTCTTGTCGTTTCGTTTGCTGATCCCTGTGCTGGGTGGACAGAGGGCGACGGGGGCGGGGGGAGGGGTGCGTTCACAAATCTTGCGCCGCTGTTTGCTTCACCTGCCGCGCCAGGAGATCGGATCGGACCGGCGACCCCCCCCCCCCTAGGATCGCGAGTCCAGCGGTGTGCGGACCGTTACGCCGCACGGCAGCATCCCACTGTGTGATTTGACAGCTCGATTCACGCTCACTTGGAGTGCTCGTGCATGGCAATTTCGTTTCGTTTTCCCTCGCTGCCGTTCTGTTTGCGCTAGCGCATCCCCTTTGCGGTCCGTGACGGCGTGCGCGTGAGATCGCCGCCTCGTTAGAATGCGATGGGTTTTTTTTATAATATAATATATCTTTTGTTTCGTTGCCGCATGTGGATATTAAAACGTGAGCATGGCCCGGGCGTGTGGAAACGTGAACCCCGTACGATGCGTCGGGATGGTTGCAATTATGGCGGGAACGGCTTGATGGGTAATCTGCGCGCGCGTGTGAGGATTTTTATTGTTTGCCGGCGGTAATGGCCTCGACGCATCAGAAATCAACGAGGTGCGTAGGCGCGTAATGTGCAGGCGACGGTTAGGCAAAACGGAAGAGCGGTTCTTAATAATTGGCAGCGAAAGTTTCCATTGCGTGTCGCGGGTCCCCAATTAATGTAAACGGATTACCAGAAAAAGAGGGCTTCTCGAATGCTTTGTTGAAATTGGAAGACAAATAATACGCGTACTTGCAAATTGTAACCGACTCGTCATTTCGCTGAAGCTGAGGCAGTTCACAGCCTGGTGAGTACTTTGCATGGGAAACTGCCAGGGAAGCCTCCACGTTTTGCAACGCTTGCATTGGCAGGTGGCCTGAAAGTGGCAGTGTAGCAATGGATTCAAGTGCGGAGCGATGAGTACTACCCCCTCGTATGCATGGTGTGTTTCCTCCAGGTGCTCTGGTTTCCATTATGGAAACAATTCTAAACGTGACAATGTAGCAGGACCCTCTTGGAAAAAAAGAATCGTGAGTTTCACACATTCTTGTTTGTGGGGCGCCACGGTGGCGAGGAGATGATATCTCTCTCGCCTGCTACGCAGGAACGCGTGGGTTCAGTCCCGACCCCTGGTGACAGTCTCAGAAGTGAAATTTAGCATGTTAAAGAAGCGATGCAAATGAACGGTTACAATGATGCACAAATCAACAGGGCATTGAATGCCAAAACCAAATGAAATAACACGAGCATTGAAACTGCCCGAGTAATTAAAACGATCAAAATTCCGTACATTGCAGGAGTAACTGATAAACTAGCCAGATGTTTGGAAAAACAAAACATCTGAGTTAGATTTGGCACGGTACATAGAATACAGAAATTAATATCTGGTACTAAAGATGTATTACCGAAGCTATCAACAGGTGTGTACAGGATTAACTGCACTTGTGGCAAATGCTATGTTGGGCAAACAGGACGAATGATCAGCACGAGACTAAAAGAACACCAAAGGAATATTGAATACTCCCAAGTAAGCAGTAGCAGAACACGCATGTCAACAAGGACACGCAATTGAATTTGATAATGTTGAAGTTTTATTAAAAACTAGCTACTACTGGCCAAGACTAATTAGAGAATATATGGAAAATTAAAGAAATAAAAAATAATTTTAACCGTTCGAATGGCTACCGACTTAGTGCTGCGTGGAAGCGAATCATCAAATAATACATTGTTTAAATGCATGCCTATACAGGCCACCATACTTCAATAGGGATTACCGTTGGTACGGCTATTTTAATAAACACAATGGACAGGAAGGACGAGACCAATGGGCTCACATAATGCGCATGGATAACGTACGTTTATTCAAGGGCGCAGAAGTTTGGTCACCACATCTACGCCTCTATATAAGTCGCCTGAGGAAGCTAGTTGTAATAACTGACAAAACGTCGTACTCAGATTGTAAATGTTGTGGCTTGGCTTTCCAACACACCGACGTGCTGTACTAGTAACGAATTGGCACGTTCTCTTTATGTAACAACCCTTACTAGTTGGCTGTGTCGGGTGGTAGCGGGTTTAACGACACATTCATATATTTACACTATCTAACCCAAAAAAACCTGTAATGGATGTTATTGGTCGCGAAAGCCTACTGCGTTAAAATGGCAAGAAGATGTGACGTCACACGGAGTCTCACCCCGTGTGTTTACTGCCAAAGGTGCTGTCATGCGGTATCTGATTATCGGATGATGCCGCAGGTGTTCGCACGAATACATTTAAATGGGTACTTCATCTAAATCATCCAAAAATCATCGCAAAATTATCATTATAAAACCCAAAAAAAAACTAAATATGTTGAGCACGTTTGTCCATGAGAGCATCGGAGTCTCAAGAATATTTTTCAAGTGGCTTATTACGTCAAGTTATTTTGCAGTTGGGGTCTGATTTTCCTGTGTGTAATCCCAATCAGGTAATTTGCAAATGATTTTTCAGCATTGGGAATGTTCGACAATACCATTTATATTGTACAGGTTTTTTGCAATGGAAGGAAAGCCAATATAACCCAAAGGGAACCCATGCAGAACATGAAAACATTCAGACTCCACACAGAAAGGCGCCCGAGTCGGGAATCGAACCCAGGTAGGTTCTATCTGTGAGGCACGTGCGTTATCACTGCGCCACCCTGACACCCAACTCCTACCCAACTTCCACCAGGCCGCCACCCTTAAATCCATAATTTTTAAATCTGCTTCTCATTTAGTTAACCACACACACACATTACGCGGATACTGTTAAATCTTATAATAACCTCGATATCTACGTATACCGTTGCAAATTTTGCCTTCCCAAACTAAAGAAGGAGCACTGAACATTAAGCAAATAGTACAAAAAACTATTACAGCAATTTTAAGAGGCTCATTATCTTATCTGAATTCCAGCGAGATTTTTCTTTTTCATAGCCTGGAATTTAATTGAATCGCCATCGTATGGTTTGGTGGTGTTTCAGCGCTGGTGGGCGCCTCTTTGCAGTCTGTGCGAGAAACGTTGGCATAGATGTCCGTCTTTCAGCGAAAGGTTATAAAAGCTCTTAAAGCCATCGCCCGGTTTCAGTGCAACACATCACGTAATGCCACCTGGCCATTACGTGGCTTCTTCACCTTAATGCCTTTCCATAATTTCGAATTATATATGTATATATCTGTGTGTGTATATATATATTTTTTACGTAAGCTGGAAAGAAATAGCATGGGGGGGAAAAAACACGCGCTAAGTTTGGCAGACGAAATTGTCAGCTTACTTGTATGTTCGTAATGTTTTGGAATATAAATGTAATTTATTGAGTGCGGTTTGTAAGGTGCTATTTTCCCCATTTCTATTCCCAATGTGCAATTGGCGCCGTGCCACGAGACGCGAGACAGAACCCACTGGGAAATCTCGCAGACAAGTGTAGCCTGTGTGTTTGGTTTTTTTTTTCTCTGAAAATTTTCACGGAAATTTTGATTTTCAGAATTACCCAGCAAGTGGGCCTTTTTAGCCTTTACACAAGAGGGGGCGCATCCCCCCCCCCCCCCACAATCTGCCACGAGATTTGCGTTTTGCGTTTTGTCACTTGGAGGTGAAACCGATATATCGTTCTCACAGCTGGAAATGAGCCAATTTTCATTGGTTTCCAGGCTGACGCCATGGACTCGATGGACTTGTAGAATTTATTTTGTATCCCAGGTGATCGGCATTCTAATTGTAGGCCAAGCCGCCACATTTAAAAATCTTAAATATAACCCTCTGACTTTAATGTGGGTATGACTGC